TTCATAACACAAAACCTCGCCACAAAACCTCGCCACGTTACAACTTTTAAGTAGTCAGTTAACAAGGTATTTCATAGTAGCATTTCTATGGGATTGACGTACTAGCATGAATGGGTTCAATTATCAGTGTTCACTGATGACGTCATTTGACTGGTCCTCTAGAGGCGAAATGACGCCAGGCAAAGCGGGCGTTTGTCGTCTGCTTCACAGCCCGTTTTATACCCGATATTTAGGGCATTTCGCAGCACGTACAAGTTGTTTTTATCGACATAATTCATTCATAGATCTCAAATTTCATGTACAGAGTGTCAAAAGCCACACCTCTGCTCCCCTTTAAGGCGTAGCCTCCAAACATTCTACTCATATGTAGCCAATCACACGAAGTACTTAACACGCCATAACATGTTGATTAATGCTCCCTATATTAAAAGACTACACATACCAAACTGTCAGATTTAGTAGTCGGGTTAGCGACGTTTATATCGTAATTGGTTCCATTCGCTGACTCAAGTTCCGTCCAGGACCTTGTATAAACTTAAATGGTGACAGGTTATAGGAATGTGTTGAATGATATAAACCAGCTATCAAGTCATATCAGTGACCGATCTTAGACACATAAATCATCACAATAACATGGTGCTCACCGTATGCTCACACTAAGGAAGGCTGAATGCAAAGAAATAAAAATGAATAAATTCATAGTGACAGTAATGTACTTACATAGCACATTGTGCTGCAGTCAGTACATATTTTTTGTGAACAAGAATTCCGCCACAAATGTGCTCCGTATCACCTTGCGTGTAATTTACTATTGCCATCCACGGGTGCAAACACGACTCAACAACTCCGCCTTTTACATTACTTGTTATATTCTCCAATAACGGTTCTATAGACAATACAAAAGCCAAAATATTGATATTTTTGACATCTGTGTAGTTGTTTATATATAAAGGCACTGTGTGTTGTCACATATTCCGTACATAGTTTTAATAACTATAATGTCGTTATGCATTGCGGTATATGTGGGTAATGACTTCCTCAATTTAATATGCTTTGCGGATCCTATTCAATCAAAGAAGACCTATATATTGTTTCTTGTATTTTTACCATAAGTAATGCATATTTGTGTTACTAACCCTATTATACTAGCAAAGCAAAACACGCTTGAAAATGATGAAATCGCATTTTCGATGTACATTTGATCTGCGAGTGGTCTACATCATTGCTTAAAAATTCCAAATGACCAATGTAACAGTTTTCCATAACCCAAGAGTTTAAATGTGTTACATACGTGTAATGTTTATTCAATATAAAATAAGAAAACGTGCATTTAAAAACAATATACTTGCCCATTTCTCGTATTTCACGATTCTATGGAAAATAAATAAATAAATCATTTAATTACATTATACCAAATCATAACGTGAATATGTAACATGTCAATGTAGTAGAGAGGTCAAAGTTCAACCAAACGTTAATTTACTAAATTGCTTCCTACACAATAATTAGTAAAATAATATCAGTATTAATGTAATCAACAGTCTATTAATTTTTGTCTTGTTTCTTGTATTCTGCCAGTGTGCACTTGCTTTAATGTAGTTATTTATGTATGTGTTTATTCTGTACCAAAACCTACTGGGCTGCAAGTACAGAATACCAAAAATTGAAAAATGTGGGCGCTAGATTTCAGTTTCATGAATCAGTCACGGTACCTCTTTTAATTGAAATTCTTTGCATTTAAACCTGCGAAGATTTCTCGGATTTCTGCAGATATAATGAGACGACAGGATTGTGAAGAACCATGGTGAATTGAAGAATATGAATTTATATACTCAGATCACAGTTCACTATAAATAGGCCATATCAGAGGGAAATGTATCTTCAACACAGGTCAGGTTGCACAACATACAATTTCTATTTTACATGTTTCAGTGCTTTGTCTGTACACTGATTAAATAAGAACGCCATGTCCGAGTCTTTATATCATTCACTGTGTTTATTTGTCTGTACACTTTCAACTCGACGACTAACAGCAACATGCACATGTACATTAGCTACTAATAAATATTCATGCGACGAAGTCATAGTTCAGTTACAATAGAACACCGTGTCACATAATTTAAACAAAACGAGAACATAACTTGTTTTAACCCTTCGACCCGATTCGAAGGTAAACGGGAATACTAGCAAATGACTCGAAATAAATAGACTACACAGGATACTTTGGTATGGAGTTTGATTGCTGATGTCGGCATACGAAGAACACATATTTAAAACACACTCCGGGATTAGAACAAGAAACACAGGTGTCAACAAATTGTATCCACTATATTATTCACTTAAAGGTCGTCACCTGCGCACGCGCGGGAATTGAGTCCCAAGCGACGATAACAACACACGCTAAACACTCAAAGGCTCATGGGTAGACGCTTGTTTGTAAACGATGACACGCTATGGCTGTCGGACGCATGCATTACTGTTAATTGTTTTTGATATGTTAATCTGAATATATAACGTTTGTATCTTCCTTACAATTTACTAATATTCCCAGGAGAAAGTAGCACACGAGTTCTGACGTCATGCTCAATGAATTTAAACCCACGACATTCAGTAAATAGTCCGGTATGATAAAGGTGAGAGTTCGAATCCACCACTAAAAATATCGAGTACTATTATTTCTCACAAATTACATTCAACACATAGTCCCATTGTCATTAGGTAAAAATCAATATATGGTTGTAGTTTATCCTAGATCAATAAATAAAATGATCTCCTCAATTAACAAATGAATGTATGACTTACCCCCAGAGAGTTAGCAAAAGTTCCCGAGACGAAAATCCAAATGAAAACAAAATTCAATGACATAATGCCAATCTATACGAAAGACAAGATAATTATTAGAAAGAAATTCAATGAAGACAAATTATGTGTAATCCTGAGAATCTAACAGTATTTTGGGGCGGGATACGGCGTATATGTCCCTAGCTCCCGTACATTGTTCACATTATAACATTTAAGCGTTACTCGTAATATCTACTTACGTACTCAAAGACTTAAATGTTCTTACTACACTTTTTATATAGACAATATGGTTATCACATATATCAGTTTTCCATCCGATAAAGGTAGTATAGGAAGGAGCAATACAAAATGTGACAATACAATGTTCATCATGTTACCAGCTTCCATATGTTGCCAGGCCTGAAAAGGTGGATCTTCTGGCGATTATTTTTTGTAGCAGTCAATTTTTTTCCTCAGTATAACGTTTATGGTACAGCATGTACGAATTGTTATTGCTGCAACGCGCCTGGCGTACTCTCACTTCAAATAAAAAAAATGTCTTACCGTCACAGTCATAAGAGATACAGCGTAAGAACCAATTATCAGCAGTGGGGTATGTTGATTCAATGATCAAAAGTGACTTTATAGCCAATACCTAATGATAGACAGGTATACGCACATTGTCAAAAAGGAATAATTAAATCAATTATGTTTTGTTATCAAAATTCAATCTGAACATTGGATGTATTAATATCAATGCATAAACATGTACTCGACCACAAAACACGTTATGATATACTTTTGTAGGTATCCATGAATAATGATGAAGCTTACACCTAAAACTAGAAACAATTTATGAATGTACAAAAAAGGAACATAATGCATGTTATTTACAGATTTATACACGAAAACATGGTTTTCGGTGCGAGTATCGAATCAGCGACAGCATCTTAGCTGGTGAATTCCTTAAGTAAAAAACGATAAGCCATCTTGTTGCTGGCCATAATTTCCTGCTGTATACTTCTAAGCAGTTGACCTAAAATTAAATGTTGTGGTTGAGAGAGATGTGTTATGTTATACAACTAGAGTGGTCTAGACTGTTGTCAGCATCCTTTATTCTATGTTTTTGTCATATTACCTCAAACCCTGCAAATTGAAGTGTGCATGGAATCATAGGAAGAAAGGGATGCATTGATGTGCAATAACTGTCTTAAAGGTGATTGACAGGGCTCTGGAAGGTCAGTTGGAATGTACCAGATGTGCTGTTATTTGAATAAGAAAAATGTTTATGATCTACTCAGTTGCCTACTGACACAGCTGCTAGCAAGATCACATTCTGATGTGGAAACCCAGGTGGTTGTCACTGAATCTGGGTCATTTATTACACATTGGACAGACTGAGGACTGTTAATAATAGTACAAGCATTTTAATTATTATTATATATCGAATGAATAGTGTAAATAATATCATTATGTGACTGACAGCGGCATTCCAAGATTGACAGGAATACAAACAAAACGTATTACTATGTTATATATTTCCAAAAGATTGTCACATGCCTGACAAAGAACACATTCATGCTTATCAATAAATTATAAATACAAGCTATGTATATAATTTATTGGTAAACTGCCAATCATAGTCGTTACAGAATACAACCAATGATTGACATGTTCTCTGTTCTGATGAGCCAATCATATATGATATGATATATATATATATATATATATATATATATATATATATATATATATATATATATATATATATATATATATATATATATATGATATGCCATCATTGTATTCGAGTTTATATAATAATTTAGCACTTATGAATGACATCTAATTACCGTTTTTCATCTCTTTCAAATCTTATGATATATTTGTATTAGATTAAAAGATTGTGACAGTAAATCTTTAGTTAAAAATGCATAACAAAATAAACGTGCTTTTATGGAAGCAAAAGATAAAATTATGTAAATGTTGACATATTTGATATGGCTAAAGCCGGAAAAGTTAGTTTTTTTTGGTTTTTGGCGTAATTTCAACGAAAATCAAAATCTTATTTTCTGTAACGAAATTTAGTCTAGAAAATAAGAGTCGGAATAAGGTTGAATACGTCTGATTGTATTTTCTAGTTTCTTTGACTGAACGTAGCATTTACAGTTCATTCAAAGTTCAATATTGCGTTGGCAATTGTGTTGATACAGTGTAACAATGTCGACGCCGGTCGGAAGCTTAGCCAAAATAAAAAGCGTGATCATTTGAACACTACTATTACAAGATTGGTAGGAGGTGATACAGTTGGCGCGAAAGTATTAAAAAGTCAGTTTTTTGGCCGATGCCATGGCAACAGTGGGCCAGTATTTTTTTCAAGATTTTACCACCCAACTAGAGTGGTGGTATAATCTTCCTACCAAGTATGAACGAAATTGGCCTAGCCAAAAAAATCACAGAAGAGTTAAAAAGCCGTTCCATTGCCTGTCTCGAAGACCTACAACTTGCTTGTGTTCTCCAGCTTGTGATTTGACACACCTCTCCAATCTTTATTTTCTGTTGGCCTACGTCAATTGTACAGGGGCCTGACCCACTTCTAGTTGTCTGATCTAAATGAAATTTTGCATGTGTAATGATCTCCATGGGTTATTTGCAAAAACAGCTCTGAACTAATTGTGGTTTCTGATTTACAAGTGTTTGAACTGAGTCAGGTATGAAATGAAGCCAGTTGAGTGTCGCGCAGTGATCCGTTTTTTGTATTTAAAAGGACGCACCCCAAAGGAGACTTTTGATGAAATGAAAAAAATTATGGTCATAATGCCCCATCATACCTTGTAAAACGCTGGCATTGTGAATTCAAACATGGCATGGAAACAGCTCCCAGATCTAGTCGTCCCTTTCAGCCATCGATGAGGCATCTGTCCGTCAACTGAGGCAGCCATTTTGGAAGATTGACACATTACTGTTCGTCAAATAGCCCCATTCATGACCATTTGCATATGCATAACGTGTTTGCCAGATGGATTCCCAGGTTGCTCACACCTTTCCAGAAGTAAGAACACGTCGAGGGCTCGAGGATAAATTTGGAGATGTGCCAAGAAGATGAGTCATTTTTTCAAAATACTGATTACACAGGATGAAACTTGGGTCCATCACTATGTTCCAGAGACCAGAGCCCAGTCAATGCATTGGAAGCACTTCAACTCACCACCTCCAAAGAAGGCAAGGGTTCAGCCCTTCGCTGGCAAGGTCATGCTCACAGTCTTCTTGGACCAGGACGGAGTAGTGATGACAGATTTCCTGGCAAATGGTACCACAATTACAGGAGCCTATTACGCTTCACTTTTGATGAAATTAAGAGAAGCCATTAAAATCAAGAAGCGGGGCAAGATCAGCAAAGGTATCCTCCTCCTGCAGGACAACGCTCCGGTCCACAACTTGCATGTCGCCAGATCAGAAGCACGGGCGTGTGGCTATGAAATCCTCCCCTTACTCTCCTGACCTTGCATCATCTGACTTTCATCTCAGCCATGAAATTGTTTTTGAAAGAAAGCGTTTCCCATATGATACAG